CGCGTATAGTTCCAGCGGGCACGTCCCATAAGAACTTCCTCCGCGTCGTCGTCGCCGTCGTCGTCTCTCTCATCCTCCTGCTATCCCGCCTGTTCCTCCTCTTTTTCCTTCTCTTGTTCCTCCTCTTGTTCCTCCTCGTCTTCGCTTTTGTCCGGAACCGTCTCCGCCGCTCTGGAGTCGTGGGCTGGGACCCTCGAGGCATGGTGGGCATTGATCGCGTTGGATAGAGAGACACTTGCCCGCCCCCTGCGCGCGGAGAGTATATCAGCATCCACCGCTTCAGAAGGGCTCGGAGCAGGATCCCACACGAGCTGGCTCCATGGCGGTGTGCTTCTTCCTCCGCCTTGGCGTCGCTCGGACGTGTGCACTTTTTCTCGGCGAGGAGCGTCGCAGAGCATGCTGGGTCGTCGAGCGAGAAAGGCACGCACAAGACCGAACAGCGCACAGGGAATGGACGTCCGAGCGACGGCCAAGTCCCTGGCGGTGTACTTCTTCCTCCGCGCCCCACCCCGTGCGGGCAGGAGATGGAGCAGGACGGGCGATCCAGGATGGAGACCGAGGCGGTCATGCGACGGTGCGCGCCCCGCCCTCTGCGCGGCAGACAGGGGGGGGCAGGGATGCAGTCTTGCTTTCGCTTCTTGTTCCTGCTTGCGTTCCTGCTTCTGCTGCGCTCTTCCTGCCTCTCTCCCCTTTCTCCCCGTCCGCCCCGTCTGCCTCCACCGCATGCTGCTCCCCCCCCTGCTGCCTTTTTTCCTCGTCGCCGTCCTTCTTGCTTTCTCTCCTCTTCCTCTCCCTTCTCCACCCGCCCCCTCATCTTCCCCTCGCCCCCCCCCTCCCCTCCCCTCTCTCCCTCCCTCCCCCTCTCTCGCTCCCTCCCCCTCTCCCCCTCTCTCCCTCCCTCCCTCTCCCTCTCCCTCTCTCTCTCTCTCTATCTCTCTCTCTCTCTCTCTCTCTCTTTCCAACTTGTCTCTCTCGCTCTCTCCTTTTCTCTCTCTCTCTCTCTCTCTCTCCTCTCTCCTCCTTCCTCACTCCTCCTCCCCCCGTGGTGCTCCCTCCGCGCCCCGCCCGCCTCCACCCCCCCCCGCCGGCGCCTCGAGCGAGAGACCCTCCCCCCGCGCCTGCTGCCCCGGGCCCCCTGCCAGCAGGGAGAGCCGCGTGGCCCCGCGTGGCCAGCCGGGTGCCTTCCGCGCAGCGGCGCGCCGCGCTCCACGCCGCCCCCTCCTCCTCCTCCTCCTCCTCCTCCTCCTCCTCCTCCTCCTCCTCCTCCTCCTCCTACCTCCGCCTCCTCCTCCTCCTCCTCCTCCTCCTTCTCCTCCTCCTCCTCCTCCTCCTCCTCCTCCTCCTCCTCCTCCTCCTCCTCCTCCTCCTCCCCGTGCCACTGCTGTTCTATACTCCTCTGGGGGAGTCGGCTGGGGACGCACGGGGCGCCACTAAGGGCGTGGATTCCCCACGCCCGACGAGCACCCCAGCCGAGCCCCCAGGGGAGTGAACAGCGGGGCGACAGTGGCAAGAGGCACGCTCAAGTGCCCTCCCAGCACAAGGAGGATGCGTCGCCCTAGACCGGACCTCCTCCAGCAGTGCTTATATTGCCCACCTTGCAGGTTCGGGTCGGAGAGCTACAGGCCCCGCCTGGGTGGTCACCCTGGTGGAACACGTTTCGCCAGTGACAGGCTAAGCATGGCCCTCCTGAGCGAGGTTGACACCAGCTGCCTGTCGGCTCCGCCAGATGGTCTCAACGAGGACGCCGGAGGATTTCTCCTCCAGGAGCCTGCCAGCAATACTGGCGATCCTACACACCTTCCTTAGGAGGCATGCGCCTCCATGACACTGCCGGGTTTTGTCAATTTTCATTCGGACAAGTCGGAGGGTCTGACCTCCAGGACGCAACCCGGCGGCAATGCCGGCGGTCCTGCACATTCTCATATCCTAGCGTGTGGCATGTGTCCGTAGGACATGGCCTGGCGCCAATGCCAGCGGAGAGGCATTCCAGTTGGAGGTTCTGCCCTCCAGGACACAGCCCGGCGGAAAGGCCGGCGGCCCTGCACAATCACCGTTGCCCATCTTGCAAGGAAGGCGGTCAATATCTCGAGGTCGCTCACCTCGAGATCTTTACTTCGTTGTCTGAAGGCACACGCGGGCATATGCTACGCTTGGCTCCTCGTGCGCAGGCGAAGGCCAACGGCAGTGCCAGATCTCGTGCATCCACAGATTATGCGCGCACGTCGCGAGGCATTCGCCTCAAGGACACAGCCCGGCGGCAAAGCCGGCGGTCCTGCACAATCTAACTCTCTCCGCTTACCATGGCCTCGTCTTAGACGGTGGCCAACGGCCGTGCCAGCTGTCGCGCACCGCGGATGCTGCGCACATGTCGCGAGGCCTTCGCCTCAAGGACACAGCCCGGCGGCAAGGCCGGCAGTCCTGCTCAATATCTTTTCGTCTGGCTACCATGATTGTCTCCTATCAACGTCATTGCCAGTTTTCGTGCAATCGCAGATAATGCAGTATGTCGCGAGGCATTCGCCTCAAGGACACTGCTCGGCGGCAAGGCAGGCAGTCCCGCACAGTCTCACTCTTTGTGGTTACCATGGCTTGTCTCCTATTCGTCGATGGCCAGAGTCAGGGCCAGTTTTCGCGCGTCCACAGATTATGAACGCACGTCGCGAGGCATTCGCCTCAAGGACACAGCCCGGCGTCAAGGCCGGCAGTCCTGCACATTTGCACTCTGCTGCCATGGTTCCTCCTATCAGACGTCGACCAGTTTCAGTTTCAGCTTACGTGCATCCACAGTTTATCTAAGCATGTCGCGAGGCATTCGCCTCAAGGACACAGCCCGGCGGCAACGCCGGCAGTCCTGCATAACCCCATGTTGTCCGGCTTGCATGGCCGACTCCTACCAACGTCATTGCCAGTTTTCGCGCAATCGCAGATAATGCAAGTATGTCGCGAGGCAGTGGCCTCAAGGACACATCCCGGCGGCAAGGCCGGCAGTCCTGCACAGTCTCACGCTTTGCGGCTACCATGGGTTGTCTTCTAGTCGACGACGGCCAGTGTCAAGGCCAGCTTTCGTGCGTCTACAGATTATGAACGCACGTCGCGAGGCATTCGCCTCAAGGACACAGCCTGGCGGCAAGGCCGGCAGTCCTGCACAATCGCATTCTGCGACCATGGTTATCTCCTATCAGAGGTTGGCCAGCTTCATTTGCAGCTTTCGTGCATCCACAGTGTAACTTTGCAAGCATGTCGCGAGGCATTTGCCTCAAGGACACAGTCTGGCGGCAAGGCCGACAGTCCTGCATAATATCATTCTGTCCGGCTAACATTGCTTATCTCCTGTTAGACGCTGGCCAGCGTCCGGGCCAGCTTCCGTGCATTCACAGACTACGCTAATTCTGGGGAATCAGCGTCTGACTCTATTCTGAGGGATGCCAGCCCATCCCCTGGCCAGGCGGTGTGACACGCTTCACGCCCTCTCACTGGCATGGTATGGCGGAGACAGGAGCTATCGTGAAGCTCCCCCGCCACCCCTAACGGTGCCTCCAACGGTCCCCGCACAGGCTCTGGGACCAGAAGGTTGGCGTCACAACCTTCACGAGCACCGTTTTCAAGGATGGGAGAGCCTGCGTGCCCCACCCGATCTGAAAGGGTTATGCCTACCCTCAAGGGCATCAGCAATACACTACAGTCCTCCCCCTCCTCCTCCTCCTCCTCCTCCTCCTCCTCCTCCTCCTCTCTCCTCTCTCCTCTCTCCTCTCCTCTCTCCTCTCCTCCTCCTCCTCCTCCTCCTCCTCCTCCTCCTCCTCCTCCTCCTCCTCCTCCTCCTCCTCCTCCTCCTCCTCCCTCCTCCTCCTCCTCCTCCTCCTCCTCCTCCTCCCTCCTCCTCCTCCTCCTCCTCCTCCTCCTCCTCCTCCTCTCTCCTCCCTCCCCTCCTCCTCCTCCTCCTCCTCCTCCTCCCTCCTCCTCCTTATCCCCCTCCTCCTCCTCCTCCTCCTCCTCCTCGCCCTCGCCCTCCCCCTGCCCCTCCCCCTCCCCCCCCACCATTGCCGCCCCTCCTCTCTCAAGAAGTGGCGAAGCGTCCTGGCTCGCCTGTAGCCCTGCCAGACAATGTTCTAGGAACCTTTTGTGGCTTCCACGAAGTGTTCTCAGAACATTTATGGTCGAGATTGTTTTGTTTTAACACATCGGTTTGTGTTCTAGGAACATTGCTTTTGTTCTTAGAACAGTTTGGGGTTCTAAGAACAAAAACAATCCCTGGTCAACCGTTGCCGCCCCTCCTCTCGGCGGCCAGCGAGGGGGGGGGAAACCGAGAAGGAGCAGGTCTTCTTCGGTTTTCGGACGCTCCCTCGTGCGTTCTCGGCGCGTTTCCAGCCTCGGGAGGCTGGCCAGCAGCTGCGCCTCGCCGCGGGCGTTCCGGGAGTGCCCCGGAGCGTCCCCAACGGCAGCCGGAGACCCGAGTGGCGACCCAAGAGCCAGATTCGGCGGCGAGCGAAGGGGGAACTGAGAAGGAAAAGGCCTTTTCAGAAGGCTCGGGAGTCTCCTGGCCTCCTGAGAAGTTTTCTCCGAGAAGCCTTCCCCGGAGGCGCAGGAACAATTCCTCGGACGACCGCCAGGCTTCTCTGAGAAGCTCCGCCGCGTTCTGCGAAGCGGCACGGACGAAATGGGTACGGAAAGAAGGGGTACAATGCAGAACAGCAGCTTCCGTCCATTTTGAACAGGACGCGCTGTCCGCGCAGCCGCGGCCTGTGTTCACTCGAGACAGAAGACCGCCTGCCCAACAGCGGCCGCTGTCGGTTTGGGACAGCATGTGCTGTTGGGCAATGTGCCCATTTATCCATACCGATTTCGGGTGTCCAAAGAGAAGGCTTTCCCCGCTTCACTTCCTCCTCCCCTCGTCTTATGACGTCCCAACCTATTTTTAACCTGGAGCACCAGCCAACAAAATCGAGCACCAACACAGTACCGAGACTGGAGAGCCTCCACGTGCCGGGCCCTGGGAGGCGATACTCGTCCGACGCTTCTCCGATACCTCTCCTGGGTCTTCGAGATCGTGCCTGGGATGTGGTCCTCAAGTGCGATGGGAGCAACCTGGCCCTCGCCCGCCGCCGATCCTCCCCCGTGCGACCAGCTCTCTGCAGCCGCTCGCGCCGGCACCCCGTGCATGCAGGCGCCTGGCCCCGCCCACATGGCCAGCGGCCGTCCTCCCTGTGGCCGGCGTCGGGGGCCTCGCGGCCGGCGTGCCTGGCCCCGCCTCTTTGGGGCTTCGCTGTCTCGGCGCGCTGGGACTAAAGCCTCGCGTGTGCTTCTGCAGGGGGAAACTCGTAGAATTGGAGTCGAACAGAGTCTAGAGGCGACTCTTCCATGTTTGCTCCTATGTTTGAAGCATGTGTTCCATCTTGCCCATGCTTCCGCCAAAATCCACCTGGAGGGGGCCGTGCCCGACCCGATTCTAGGGGCACTGGGTTCCCCGAGGATAAAAGAACCCCTAACCCTCATAACATAGTGAAGACGTGGCCTCACTGAAGGCCCTGTCGTCGCATTAGCGACACACATACACAATTCGTCGCCGACCCCCAGGAGAGTAGGGGAAACTTTGGAAGGTGGGGTGGGGGGGAAGACGAAAACCCAGAAAATGTGAGAACATATACGGGCTTTCTGGGATTTGTGTGCATTTATTATTGGCATCGCTCGGACGTGTGCATGTTTTCTCGGCGAGGACCATCGAAGAGCATCCTGGATCATCGAGCAAGAAGAGCACGCGGAAAACCGAAAAACGCACAGGGAATGGACGTCCGAGCGACGGCAAGTGTGTGTGTGTGTGTGTCCCTGGGTCCCTCCATCTTACCCGTACCAGGGCGTCCACGTCGTGGGCAAAGAGGGGACTGACGACTAGGGGGGGGGGGATATCATGGCGGGGGCCGCGATAGTTCCTCAGATTTCGTGGCGCCTCTTCTTGTTTCGCTATGTGCCTGGCCCCCCCTGGGCCGCGCACATGCCGCCGGCCATGATTTGCGCCCCCCCCCCCCCCCCCCCTCTTGGGCGCCCCCCTCTTGGCCGACCCCGAAGTACTGTTCTAAGAGCCTTTTGTGCTCTGCACGACATGCTCTTAGAACATGTCTTGCGGAGTCTGTCTTGTTTTAACACATCGGGCTTATGTTATAACAACAATGTTTTTGTTATTCGAACTTTTGGGTTCTACGAACATGTCGTGGTAGGCCTATAGGAATTCCGGGACGGTCGGTCCCTTCTCAAGTCTTGACCGTGTGCACGTATTGTTAGTGTCGCATCTGGTTGAGAAGGAGTGCAGCAATGCATCGATTTCGACGTGCTCCAGCATTAGGGGAACAAGTAATAGTTACCCTAAGCAAATTGACATGGTGGAGCGTTCACGCAGGGATTCATCTCAGTTTGCCGCGGCCGTAAGACTGCCACCGTTGCCGGAGGTACGTAGAGGTTGAAATTCCCGAGCTCAAGTCCAGGTTAATCAAGGAGCGCGAGGAACGCGAGACGATGGAGGAGACGGCGGAGTGCGGGTGGGACCTCCCTCCTCAGTTCTCGCGCCTCTCTTCTCGTCCCTTCCTTCTCCCTTCTCGCCCCCTCTTCCTGTTCATTGCTACCTACCGTTATCTTGCCACCCTTCTTACTCGCCCTCCCGCAGCCTCCTTCATCCCCTCTTCACCCCTCGCGCCCCATCCATGCCTTCGCCTGCTCCTGCTCATCAGACAAACCGTATATTTCGCAGCTGTACCTCCTTCCTCAGGTTTCCTTTGTAATCCCTTTCCCATCCTCCCCTTCTCTTATCGTGCTGCGCGTTGCAGTTCTCGTTCTTCTTGGGTGGCCGTCCTCCGCTAGGCCGCGCTTTGGGGAGCGGTCTTTATCCTTTTCATTCTCGCCCCCCGTGCCCTTGCTTCTCCAGTTGCTGCTCCTCTCCATCCTCCTCCTGCACCTTCTATGTGTCTCTCCTCTTCGTCGCCCCTCTCCTTTGCAGTCGTGCTGCGCAAGGAAGCTCGAGTGAAGCAGTGGCGTCGGAACGCGGGCCAAGGGCCACATCGGGGGGCGAGTGCCCTCAGTCGCCTACAGTGAAGTCGGGCCTGTCCCTCTACAGGGGGAATATTCAAAAATAGTTTAGAAAATAGTCTGGGGACGATTTCTTTATCATCTTTTGACCAGTTTGGGTTTGTTTGGGGGTATTCTTGATTTTTCGTCGAAAATCCCCCTGTGGGGGGACAGGCCCGACTTGAGCCTACCAGCTCGTCCGGGATGCGCCAGGCGCCGGTCTTGCATGACGTGCCCCGACTGTACTACTTGGCCAGCGTCGAAGGGCGCCTCCCTCCTCGTCCCCGAGGGGCGCCGGGATGTGCGCGCATGACGACTCGCAGCCCGCGGCGCCAGGTCGGCTGAACGCGACAGCCGTGCCCCCTGCGGAGCGGCACGCCCCTCCCTTGGCATCGCTCGTGCGTGTGCATTTTTCCTCCGGCGAGGGCCATCGAGGAGCATCCTTGATCCTTTGGCGAAAAAGCACACGCACGAAGCCGAAACAAGAAACACAGGGAATGGACGTCCGAGCGACGGCGAGACGGCGACCTCCGCGCCGCGCGCCCCCCGCGTGCCCCCCGCGCGGCGGTCGGCGTGCCAGGGGGGCCCGCGGCGGCTCTCGTCGTTGCGCTCGTCGTGCCGGGGCTGCGTCGAGGCAGAGCGGCGTGCGTGGCCTTCGCCGCGTGTTGGCAGCTGCCGCTGCTGCCGTCCCGTCCAGCCTGTGCGCCCGATGGTCGTGCACACTGCCCCCGATGAGCTCCATCTTGTGGCTCCTTGCCGCCTTGTACAGTGAGCGGCTTGAATAAGGAACACTTACTTTTCAAAAGGGCCTCGATCGTTCCTTAGGCTTGCATGCGTTATTTACAGTTCCTGATGCGTTATGTATTGTTTATCGTTCCTTATGCGTTATTCCTTGGGATAAGAAGGGGCTTCGTTCCTTATTTATCGTTCCTTAGGTCAGGCCGATGACTGTATGCTGGAGTATGAGGAGGATGACAACGATTATTGTCATGCTCAGGGCTTTGGTCGAACCATCGGTTTGGATGGACGACGGTTTGTGGAGGTCCTCGGCCAGCCCAAGTTGCAGCTTCAGATGTCGATCGCAAGAAAGCTGTAGCCAGTCCGTGCGGAGTAAAGCAGCTGCCAAGGTTCACGTTTCGGTTGAGGTATTGCATCGTCAAGCTGGTCGAGCAAACTAGCCCATGACCTCCGCACCCTTGACCAGAAGAGCCTTTACCGAACCTGCACCGCGAAGATGGTCCACGACGCCGTTCTGTGATGCGGACCCCGATGATCATGCAACAAAAATGACGCTGGGGCCGTCGATGACTCTGTCGGTTTCCTCAGCGTTCAGGAACGCTCTCGGAGCGTCCCAGAGCCCTCTGAGAAGGCCGCGACGCCCGATGCATCCTCCAGAGCCGCCGGGCCTCAGAGATTCTCTGCTCGCCCCTGCCGCGTGGCGGTTGCCCACGGCGACCTGGACGCCGCGAGCTCGGCGGCATACTTGGCATGCTCTGGACCAGCACTCCATGCCCATTGCCCTGCGCGACCGTACATCAACCGACCGGACGTCCCTGGAGGCCCAAAAAGGGCCCAACGCGTCCAATAACTGTCCGAAAGCGTCCGAACTCCAGTAGAGGGACAATCTATTCGGACCCTCACACATTCGACATCAATGTTGATCTCAGTGAAGGCGGTGCTCTGGGGTTCGAATATTTCTGTCCACTCACGCCCCCCCCCGTCGCCACGCCATCGATATCACTTTCGAGGGGTCTGGGGGGCATCTTGGGCCACAGGGTTCGAATATATTGCCCATCTGCTGTCCCTCCTCGATCCTCGAGGAGGGCCGAGGGCAAAACTTACGAGGCCCAAAAAGGGGCCCAACGCGTTCAATAGTTGCCCGAAAGCGTCCGAGCTCCCTCCTCGAGGAGGGAGCTCGGACGCTCTCGGACTCGAGGACCGAGAATGGATCGATCCTCGAGGATCGATCGATCCTCGAGGAGGGCCGCGGGCAAGGCCGCTATAGGTGCCCAAAGGGGGAGGGCCGCCGCCCGCATCCGGCGCCTCCCCGCGGGCGGAGGAGCGCATCCTGCGGCGGGCCTCCGACGAGATGCAGAAGCTGCAGCAGGCCTCGGGGCCGCCGCCGGCGCCAGCCCTCAGAGTAGGGGGCCAGATGCGAACCCTGCCCCTACCCCCCACGATTTCTGAGGGGGAGGGTGGGGTTCACTTCGCTCGGGAGCCCCCCAACGAAGTGAACCCCACCCTCCCCCATCAGAAATCGTGGGGGGTAGGGGCAGGGTTCGCATGTGGCCCCCTACCGAGCCTCGGCTGGAGCGAGGGGGGCGGGAGAGCCGAGGGGGCTTCGGGGCGACCCACACGGGTACGCGCCGGTCGTTGAACGTAGGGGGATCGGAGAGAGCTATGGGTGCGTGTTGTCGGATGGGGGTCCCCGCTCGAGCAGGAGCGTTCCCCAGGGTCTGGCAACCCGCACCCATACCCATAGCCAGTCCTCCTCCCAACGGCCCCCCTATGGGTATGGGTGCGTGTTGTCCGTTCGTCGAGGGGGGCGGGAGCCGAGGGGGTTCGGGACGACCGACATGAGTACACGCCGGTCGTTGAACGTAGGTATTTTGGGATTTCCAGATCCCAGTCTGCTTCAAGCGCCTTCCTACCTCACGGGTCGGCATGCTTGTGCTGTGTTTTGTTATTCTCTGGGAGGACCTGGACCCAATCTACTAGATCCGCCTTCCTACTTCATGATTCTACCTACTTCTCCCGACCGATGTGTACGTAAAGAATGGGTACAATGCCTAACAGCAGTTCCTGTTCATTTTGAACAGGGCTCGCTGTCGGTGTCGCCGCGGCCTGTGTACATTCGAGACAGAAGGCCGCCTGCCCAACAGCGGCCGCTGTTGGTTCGGGCCAACATTTGCTGTTGGCCATTGAGCCCATTCTTTCCGTACCCATTTCGGGCGTGCAAAGAGGGGGTGGAGGAGCCGATGAGGGGAGAGGTGGGCGGGAATCAGAGGAGGAACTCAAGCAGTGGCGAAGCGTCTTGGCTCGACCATAGACCCGCCAAAGAGAATGTTCTGAGAACCTTTTGTGGTTTCCACGGGATGTTCTGATAACATTTCTGGCTGGGACTGTCTTGCTTGAACACATCGGGTTCATGTTCTAAGAACATTGTTTTTATCCTTAGAACATTGTTGGGTTCTAACAACATTTCGTGGTAGGAGGAATGCCGGGACGGTCGGTCTCCGCTCAAGGGCGGGGATCAGAGGAGGAAAAGGCAGCCATACCGCTACCCTCTGCACGTGTTCCCCATCTTGGGCCTCCTGGGAGGCCCTCGTCGCCACCGCTGGATGCGTTTCGAAGTTCTGGTCAGCACGCACCCCAGGAGAGGTCCAGGGTAGCCGTATTGGTACCTATCTTGGTTTCTCCAGGGGAGGCGCGGGTGCTGGCAGGCTGGCTGGGCGTCTTGGGCTGGCTGGCTGGCTGGGCTCGGCGGCGAGCGAGGGGGGAAATGAGAAGGAGAAGGCCTTCTCAGAAGGCGCCGGGGCTTCTCAGAAGCCCTCGCGCCTTCTGAGAAGTTTTTTGTCTGTCCTCGGGGAAGGCGTAGAAAAGTTCTCAGAAGGCCGGGGAACTTGCGAACCTTCTGAGAAGGTCTCCTCCTCACGTCCCCCCTCGCTCGCCGCCGATTTTGGTTTTTGGGTCATCACTCGGGTCTCCGGCGGCCGTTCGGAACGATGCGGGCACCCCCGGGAACGCCCGCGGCGAGGCGCAGCTGCTGGCAGGCAGCCCGAGGCTGGAGTCCCGCCGAGAACCTACGAGAAGGCCTCCGAAAGCCTGGGGACCTCGAGAGCCTCGAGCCCGACAAAAAAAAAGGCTTCCGAGAGCCTGGGGGCCTCGAAAACCTCGAGGCTCGAAGGCCCGCCGAGAGCCGACCAGAAGCGCCCGAGAGCCTCGGAGCCTCGAGCCTCGGGCCTGCTTCGGAAACTGCAGCATATATATATATATATACACATTACCAGCGGCGGGCTGTTTTTCCATCCCGGGACTTTTTGATGGTCGGGGGCGACGTAGGGGTGGTGTGGTGTATACTTTTTCCTTGTTCCCCCGGGGAGGCAAAGACCAATGTACACCAGGATCCCGTGTACACCTGGATCCGCTTTCCCGCGGTGCGAGATCCAGCGGAGTGCCGGAACAAGCGTCGGTGTATAGAGCTCGGTTCCCTACTTCTGCACGGACGACATGGGTACGGAAAGAATGGGCACAATACCCAACAGCAGTTCCTGTTCATTGTGAGCGGCCTGTGTCCATTGGAGACAGAAGGCCTCCTGCCCAACAGCGGCCGCCTGTTGGTTTGGGACGACATCTGTTGTTGAGCATCGTGCCCATGTTTTCCGTACCCATTTCGGGCGTCCAAGCTACTTCTCACTTGTATACCCAACTTTCACGTGGGGCTTACATAGGTCATTTGGCGGTGAGAACAGGGGTTATTGAAAGGGCGTTTTCAGTGGTGCGAAATGCGGCGGCCAGATACAATTCCCAAACAAAATCGTTATCAATGCGATGTGCGCATCGCCAGAGAACTCGCGTGGCGGACGCGTCGGGGACGAGCGCGCGTGAGAGATGCGGCAGGCGCCTCGACCAAGAGCGCGCAGGTCTTGCGTGGAGCCAGGCGAGAAGCTCTCGCTTGCCCCCCCCCTCGCTCGCGGCCGCTGGGCGAGAGCTCCGGCGCGCGGCTCCGGGAGGCCTCGGGCACGCGCTGCGCGCGCGGCCGGCCCGGGGGCGGGCCGGCCCTGGGGGTTCCTGTAGAGGGCCGCCCGCGGGCGCCCGCCTCGGGCGCCTTAAGGCGCGGGGGAGGGCGCCGGGGCCACCGGGTGTGGCCAGGCGGGGGGAGGAAGCACACAGCCACGCACACGCGCACGCGCACACGCGCACGCGCACACGCGCACGCGCACACGCACACGCACACGCACACGCACGCACGCACGCACGCACACGCACACACACAGACACACACAGACACACAACACACACACACAACACACAACACACAACACACACACACGCACACACACACACACACACACACACACGCGCACACACGTGTGTAGCTCTCGCCGCCCCCTCCCTGCTTCCTCCCCTGACGGCATACCACCGATGCACCGCCAGGCCGAGTCCAAAACAGAGCCCCTCCTCCCCGTAGGGTTCCTAGAAAAACAGTTGTTTTTTGATTCGCGGGTCGAGAGCGCACCTCTTCCGGTAAAGCTCCTAGAAAAACAGAACAAGCCCCATGAACATAAACTTGTGGCGTTCCGCGCGGCTTTCTCGGATCCGCGCTGGACCCGAAACGCGCCAGGGGCGGCGCCGGAGGCGCCACCAGGGGGAGCCCAGCGCGGATCCAAGAGCTCCGCGCGGAGCGCCAAAGGTTTTTCGTTGGTGGCCTTCTTCCCCCTCGAGCTCCGGCGCCTCCAGCGAGCCAGGGAGGGTGGTCCAGCGCAGACCCAAGATATCCGCGCAGATCAGGAGGAAAAGAAACACACAGACACAAGTAATCTTCGATTCCCCCGAAAATATGGGAAACTATGGGAAGTGGGGGAAGATAGAAACCCAGAAAATATGGGAAAATATGGGGAATATGTTTATTTGTGTGTATTTATTTGTGTGTCCTTGGGCCCTTCAGCAGAGCGCAAAAAGTTGATGCCTGTGGCGTCGTTTCGTCCTCTGGGTCTCCTTCCGAGCTGCGCTCCCCTCCCGACCCGTCCCCGGACCGGGAGGGAGGGGAGTCATCCATGCAGGAGTGTGGTTGACGTATTGCACCCCGCAGATCGACTGCAGCCTCACGAAGGTATTGCACCAGATCTATTGCACCACCCCCTTGTCGTTGGAGGAGGGAGGGAGGAGGAGGAGGAGGAGGAGGAGGAGGAGGAGGAGAGGAGAGGAGGAGGGAGGAGGAGGAGGGGGAGGCAAGGGAGGGGCACAGGGCGAGGAGGAGAAGGGAAGGCAGGAGCCGCTCGGCGAGATCCATCGAATGCTGCGCGACTCGAACGCGAAGCTCGAAGGGGAAAAGCTCCTCCTCCTCCTCCTCCTCCTCCTCCGATTTCTTGGATCCGCGCTGGGCCCCCCCCTGGCGGCGCCTCCGGCGCCGCCCCTGGCGCGTTCCGCGCGCCAGGGAGGGTGGTCCAGCGCAGGTCCAAGACATCCGCGCGGAGCGCTGAAAGCTCATGTTCATGGAGTGGTTTCTTCTTCCTGTGGTTCTTTCTTCCAGACAGCGACATTGACCTCAGGGGGAGAGGGCTCCACTCGCAGAGCCACGCCTCACGCATGCGAACCCTCTTTCCCTGCCGAAGGGAGGATGGAGGGATGACGAGGGGCTGTTCCAGGATCATCGGAGGTGTTTCGGGGGGAGGCCAGGCAGGTTCGATCGTGGACCCCGCCCATTCGGCCCCTGCTTTCCCTTAGCCGCCCCTGCAGGATATCGTGAACGAGGCGAAGGCGCGGAAGGAGCGCGTGCGCCGCGCGTGCTCCGTAGGTGCGCCGCTGCGGGGAGCGCTGTCCATTTGGCTGGGCCTGTGGGCGCAAGAAGCGATGTCCGTTTGGCAGGGTGGGAAGGCCCGAAAATGTGGAGCAATGTGATGATGATGATGATGATGATGATGATGATGATGATGATGACGATGATGCTGTTGCTGATGATGATGACGATGATGATGATAACGATGATGATGATGATGATGATGATGATGATGATGCTGATGATGACGATAATGATGATGCTGATGATGATGATGCTGATGATGATGATCATCATCATCATCATGCGGATGATGGCAATGATCGTAATAGTGGGTAACAGGGGGTTCTCCCCGGTATCCCTCCGCCTTCCCGTAAACGGTGTCAGGGGGCGCGATTGGGGGATTGGTGTCTTTGCGCCTTGGGGGGTCAGGCGATGTGAGCTCAAAGCAAGTTCAACACATGTGCCCAACTTTGACGACGACAACGCTGATGATGATACTGATGCTGCTGATGATGATGGTGGTGATGATGATGAAGGTGATGATGATGATGAGGATGATGATGATGCGGATGATGATGTTGGTGGCGATGATGAGATTGACGATGATGATGTTGACGATGATGGTGATGTTGAGCATAGTGTGACCATGATAATCGTGGTGGTGGTGATGGTAATGATGATGGTGACGATGTTGTTGATGATGCTGTTGGTGATGATCGTGATTAGGATGGTGATGCTGATGCTGATGATGATGAGCATGATGCTGATGATGATGCCGATGATGATTGCGATACTGGTGATGCTGATGATGAGTATGGTGATGCTGCTGGTGATGTTGATGACGCTGCTGTTGATCATGCTGCTGACGGTAATGCTGGTGATGATGATGATGCTTATGCCGCTGATGATGCGAATGATGCTGATGCTGCATGATGATATGCTCGTTGCGATGGTGATGGCGATGCTGATGTTGGTGACCAGGATTGTTCTGGTGATGATGTTGTTGTTGACGCTGATGATGGTGATGATGAGGATGATGAGGATGATGATGTTGATGATGATGACGAGGATGGTGGTGATGATGATGATGATGATGATGATCATGAGGAGGAAGAGGAGGAGGAGGATGAGTGCGACTCATGCCACTATTTTTCTGGAGGATGAAGGGGGTGGAAACCAGATGTAAGAGGGGGAGGAGGAGAAGGAGGAGGAGTAGAAGTAGCAGCAGGGGGAGGAGGAGGAGGAGGAGGTGGGTGGGGAGAAAGCGGATTCGGGGGAGGACGAGAGAGGGGGAAGCGGGAGTTGTGTGGGGTGGTGAGGAGAAAGAGGGGGATGTGGGAGCTGGCTTGGGGTGGTGAGGGGAGAGAAGGAGGAGGAGGAGGAGGAGGAGGAGGAGGAGGAGGAGGAGGAGGAGGAGGAGGAGGAGGGGGGGGGGCGAGGAGGAGGAC